TACTTCGCTGAAGGAATTGTGCACAAAGTCTGTGCCCAGGAAGTATGACAGAGGGCCAGTGCTGGAGCCTTCATCTGCCTGAGAAGTTCAGTATACAAGCCTAATGTGGTAAGGTTCAAAAGTATCTAGTATTCGTAAGAAAGAAAAAGAGTAAAACACTAAAATAAAGAAACTTTAATGTAAGCTGAGAACTCTTTCTTTGCTTATGACTACTGTAACAGTATCTACCTGTTATATGAGACCTTTTAGTTTAGTTAAGGTTTTAACTCCCAAAGCATTTGACAAAGAATGTAAAACTCAAGATGCTTATTTTATATGCTAGGAGCACAGCATGGCTAGTTCAGTGGGAAAACGGCTTTGGCAACAAGGCCAACAAAAATGTGTCCAGCTCCCTGCAATACTTGCCATTTTTCCAGCCACCATTCCCAGCTTAAGAGTGCTGCCCTCAGGCCAGTACTTGTACTTATAAGGCTGAGCTACAAAAACAGGATGATAACGATTAAATGATAAATTAGTAGGGTTTTTTGTTTGTTTGTTTGAAAGCTGTTCTTAAGCCGTATCCTTTTCATCATCTGGTTTACAGTACAACCTCATGAGCAGCTGCCTTGGCTCAGTGAATGGGCAGAGAAGTATATAGGTGGGGTAGAAACAGAGCACAGGGGGTGCAGAGGAGGCCTGTCAAGTCCTTCAACTGGTAAAGTTGGCAGTTTGTGAAACATGGCACTGAATCCTAGACCAGAGTTTTGTGTCTTGCTGGTGGAGGGGGAAAAATGGCATGAATCTGCTTCACTTAAATAATATCAGAAAAGAACATTAAAAAAATATATAGCATATGTAACAATTACAGGCTGAATCTAATTGCACTGTTTTTTCAAAGCTAAAATTACCCAGTTATTGTGGATAGTTTAATTATGATTCCAGGAAGCCTGTATGTCTAATAAGAATAGATCACTACTGTATTTGGAAAGGAAAAAGGTCCTTTGAGGTAGAGGTCAACTATTCTCACTGATATGTTAATATGCTTTCACCTAGCCAAAGCGTTATTGTTTGTACAGTGAACTCACATTGGAGTGATCAGCTGTTTCGTACTGCTGTGGGGCATTCCTGGATATAAATGGTTTTGTCTTGTTGCCAGCTAACATCCTGAGGGCCAGCATCTCAGGACATCAGGCTATTGATGAAAATCCTTCCTACTGTGAGATTAACCTTATTATTTTAACAGATGTAGAATATTAGGATGGGTTTATATATTTTTCTTTTGTCCAAAGACACTGATATTTTTCCTTGATCTGTTCTGCATTGCCAAAATGCATGAAACAGCAATTAAATCCGGCACTACATGAAGCTGCAGGTGAGATGGAAAAAAATGAGTGCAGGGCCATGCAAAGAGAGGACTATATCTCCCTTAATTATATATATCCATAATAAATGTAGCTGCATTTTAATCATTATCATTTTATAAGACAAGTGAAATAAAACTTAGACCTAGAATCATTGATTCAATTACCTTAAGCTGGACTAAATTGTCTTATTTCAAACTGAGACACTCAATAGTCGCATCTCAGTTCTGGAAAGGTTAAGTTTTTTTACCATGAGGTTTCCCTAATGAGATATTCCTGCACGCGCTTAGGAAACATCACTCTATAATGTCAAAAATGAACAGTTTGACATCTGTCCCGTGCCTGACCAAAATCATCAAAAAAGACATTGTTCCATATGTTAAACACATCCCAGTTAAAATGTACTTTTCTCTCAGTAGAGGTTGGAACATGCTTGGTTAAAGAAATACGATTCCTCTCGACCTCTCCTATCCAATGAATTTCCTTATTTTGAGGGGAGTGGGAGGGTGGGAAGGAGTGGTGGTGCTGGAGAAGAGGTGTTGGGAGGTGCGTATTTCCAGGTGAGACACTGTTCAGTAGCAACCTAGAGGTCATGCTGTATATGATCAGGATGTGGAACCCAGATCTCACATTCAGTGGGCTGGTGCTATACCAACATAAACAGTCAAATAACAAAGGTAGAAAAATCTCCTTTTTTCAACTGTATTTTCACCAAAAGTAGTTCTTTTCTATCTCTGAAGCAAGGATGTCAATGTGCATCCTGAGTGGATCTAGTTATCTTCTTGCCACCCAGAGAAGTAGGATTTAAGCAGTATAACATCTTTTAACTCTCTGTCTCCCTTTTTATTTTATTTTTTTAATTGGACATCCCCTCACTTACTAGGAAGAAAGGACTCCATTTGGAACGTGAGGCGAGCCTTGGCTCCCACTTGGAGCCTGTAGGCTTCCCAGAAAAGGGCAAACTGGTTTAGGAGCAGCAAGGTACCCCCAGTTAGCAGATTTGTGTCTTTGTGGAAGATGGCTCCGAGGCCTCAGCTCCCAAGGAGCCTGGGGAACCGCCGTGTCCTCCTGAGCCCACAGATCCTGGGTCCAGTCCTTCTGAACCTAGAGCGATAAATCCTTTTTCCCCCTGCCCTTCCACTTCAAGCCCTGAATTTAAGATACACAATTTCTTCCATGTTTACTGTTAACTAATTTACGTGGTTTGCCCTCAGTATAATTGCTCTGGGGAACATCAGGTTTGAGATACCTCAGTGTCCATGTGCTGCTTAGGAAATGTAGATGTGTATCTGAGCAAACTAATGTGTAAAAGCCCAGCTGTGAATTTAGCACTTAATTCTGGGTGCTATCAAAAAACACATAACTGTATTTTGGTAACTACTGTGTGTAGTAAATAAAAAAAAAAGTTCTCATTACTTCTTTTTTTCTAGTATAGAGACTTTCAAATATTAATCTAAATACTCTGCCATGTGCAGAAGTATGTGTACAAAGCCTCAAGCCAAATTTCACATTCTGTTACTACAGCTGTCAGTTTTCTCCCCTTCCCCAGATCCTCCTATGATAGTAGACAGCATTTGTGCTGGAATCTCCTCACTTTTAATAGAAGAGAGCTAATAAACTTTGACTTCAAAGGCACAAGCTAAGTGCACCAGCTGAGTATCTGCTCTACATTTGTGGTATGATGAATCCTTTAAAGATTTTACACAGGCTCTGACCCTTTTACTTTGGCAAAAACATCATAATGCCATAAAACACTGGGAAGTCCCAGTATCTGACCAGGAACAAGATGTATTGCTATTTCACTGAAACATTTTTGAGGCCTGACAGACATATGGGCTTAGGAAGTGAGGAGACTGGCAGGAGAGTATTATAGCATGCTGTTGTGCAGAATTACTGAGCAAAGCTATAGCTGACCTAGCAATGTGGGAATGGACTCCAGGACTCTCCGCAAAACAGTGCAAGAAGAGGAGAGATGTGTTGAGGCCAAACACAGGTAAAAGACGTCACATGTTCCTAATATGGATTATATGACATTTGCTATTTCTCATGTATGCCAAACACTTGCACTTTCCCCACATTTTTTTTTTTCACATCCTTCTTGTCTTGAAACCACCCTGAGAGGTGACTCCTGTGGGGCTGTCAGTCTTGTAACACATCTCCCACATGTGGGTCCCATGAGCTGCAGCCGGGGTAGATCTCCAAAGCCTTACTTTTACTTATATAAACCGGAGCATGATAAACAGAAACTGCTCTCGCTCCAGTGGCTCCCCCCCGGGGGGGGAGCTGCCGTGAGCAAGCACTGCAGTGCTTCTGCGAGCAGAGAGGAGACTGAGCACATAAGTGCCTTTGGCTAGCAGAGAATAATAAAGTCGTACGCCTTTTCCTCCTGCTTATTTTTCTCTTCACTCAGAAATGAGTTTTAGATAAAGAAAATTGGACGTGTGTACGGGTTATCTCCTAAATTTCAAAGAATAGCCTATATTCTTATTATAGATTGATTATGGGGGGGGGGGGGGAAACAATCTAAATCGACTGTCCCACTGGCATGGAAACTGTGAGGCACTTTTCTATGCTCAGAAACATAATCCATTGGTAGCCTCTTATCAGGAAAGGAAAAATGAATGTGAGGAAGGTAAGGCCATGCCACCTATTTGGCTTCAGGAAGCGATCGGTAGTCTTACTCTGCAGGTAAATTAAGTAAACACTGTAATGTACAATAGGCCTCAGTGAAAGCTGAAGATTCATATACCTCGCTAATTTGCTGGTGTGTAACCAGGATTTTGATTTTCCTTTTTTTTTTTTTTTTTTTTAATTCTTAACTATTCTCAACAGATGACTCGGCTTCTACAAGGGTCTCTTCTCAGACACGCACTTGCTGGTAAATATAAATGTAAGGGAAGTATTCTCATGCGACTCTTAAGTTTATTGCTGAATACAGTGCTTTGGGAAAAAGTCCAAATACTGATTTAAAAGTACTGCATCTCATAAAATTTATCTGCATTTCATAAGAGTAAAGAAAAGCTGAATTTTGGTAATTTCTAAGGTCATTTCACTAATTTTTTTGATGCTTGTGTACTATACTGTTTACAAGAGTGTTGCTGAGGGAAATGACTACAGACTACATGTAGGAATTAAAAAAAAGTGTAGGGATTTATTGTGTATAATTATAAGACTGGAGAAAACAAACCATCGTCTCTGGAAAACTACTTTAACATTGTTCCTTTTTGCAAGAAGATTTGTGTCTGCTTGATAATAGAAAATGCCCCAAAGTTCTGTGAAATAGCCATTAGGGGGATATTTAATATAATTTTCCCTAAGTCTACTGTAAAACACATAGGGCTTTCTGTAAAGTGATAGGACCAAATTAAAAACATATGGAGTTCTTCATACTATGCTTGGTCCTTTTTTTGGCTTTCCTCACACTAGGGCTCACTGGGGGATGAAAATGCTGTAGGCTAGTATAAGTTATAGAAGTCCTAATGTTTTTATAACTTATGATGGTGCTTATAGGCTGCCAGGCCAAGATCCCCAGAGTGCAATGAATCCCACTTCTCAGCTTGTTGTTATCACTGATAATACAATACTGGCGGTATTAGGAAAAGCAGGCATTTGTTAACACTGCCCATGTCTAAATTTAAGCAGAATTCAGGTGTTACCTACCTTCTAAATTCAGAGCTACCACTGCTGTATCATCCTCTAATCCTTCAATCACCTCACACTTGTATCTCCCGTAATCCTCTAGCATGATATTTGTGATTATAAGAGAGGCATCATTCTCGCTGCTTTCCTTTAGAAATGCTCTGCCCTGGTAGTTTCCGTAACTCTTTCTGTGATGTCCCATTGCAACAAAGACGTCCACTTCTTTGAGGTAATCTGAGGTGAGTTTGGTCCACTTGACCCGGATTTTGTGGGTTCCTGAGCCAGCTGTTGATGTGTGTTCATGGTAAAATTTACATGGCAGTGTGACATTGCCACCCCGGTGCGTGAAGACTTTAGTTTGTTCTGCTACCACAAGTAGACGGGGTCCATTTTCTTCTAGGATTTAAGGAGAAAAATAAAAACAAGAATTAGTCTGCATTCTGCCATTTATAGAATGGATATTTGACCAATGCATTATCTATATTATACCATAGGTCTGCAGAATCAGTTCCCTTCAATCATTTTGTACCTATGCAGCAAATAGTGTATAAGCTAGTAGCATATAACTATTCACTTGGTCGCACACATAAAGGCTGGTAACACACATTTGAAGTGAGATTAAATAGCAAGATACAGCTTTATTTCTCACTCTGTATACTTAGGAAAGTGGTGTGTGTATACTTCCAGAGAGAGAGAAAGGGCAAACAGGTTCCCAGCATTGCCCACTCTGTAGCGAGAGGACATCCTATGTAATCCATGGTCACGATAATAGGGTTATATTGATTGGATTAATTTGGAGGTACATGTAGGGTTTGAGATCTTTCCCTCCCTTCCCTCCCAACTGCATAGTCAAATAGCTTGTTAAGAGATCTCTTGCCTTTAAGACCTTGATTCTGCACATCTGATTGCACAGGACATCACAGCCAGGGGTGGTATTGACTGCATTAACTGGGAACTTCCCTTGTGTGTTACAGCAACTCCCGTGCCTCCCAGTTTTCTCTGCTATCCAGGTGAATATGGTCATCCATAAAAGGCTCCACACAAACATCCTGTATTTCCCTGTGGGCTGCTACAGGGCTGCCCACCTCCACTATTGTTTTTCATAATTCAATGCTTGGATATGGATTGAGCTCAGATGGCAGCACACAAATCCCATCGTGATCAGGATACAGTGAATCATTCTCATAAGGTTGGAAAAATGTTACTGTATAGATAGCCCTGTCAATATAGACATCAAAAATGGCAGCATAGTTTTAAAATGTCTAATTTTCTATTTGCATTTGATTCTAACCTTTGACTTTGAGTTCCTCTTCTAACACAAATATATCAAAGGAAGGAACTTCAGTTTACCAAAATTGTCTATCACATTCTCCATGACATCCTCAAATCAGTAAAATCCTGTCTTCTTCCCTAACTGACCTCATCTTTTTTTTCCACCCAACCTTTTTTTCTCCCAGTCTTTCAAATCTCTCATTATTTTATCTTTTAGTTCTTGCTCTGAATTTTCACATGACCACATATTTAAATAATCAGCTCCTTTTCTCCTTACCCTTACCTCAGCTTCTTTGCTCCCTTTACTTGCTAGTAAGTCTCTGTTGCTGATGTTACTCTGTTAAGTTATTGCGTTTGTGATAGTCAGGTAGAACAGGTGCTTGCTTCTACCCTTATGTTTCTGAGACTTCTTTGCTATGCTATGCTGTCTTGGGAAAACCCTGGGAAGCACAGGTTTGATGGTGGTGATCAGCTGATGTATCCAAAAGCTAGAATATTTCCTTCTTTAGCACCTCTTGCCTTTCCTGTCACGCATGGTTTGCAAAACTGTTTTAGTAACCTCAGCACTTTTGTCGTTATTGCTGTCTTCTATCACTGGGGACACTGGCTAAAGCTGGCAATGGCTCACCAGTGCTCCACTTACCAGAACAGAGCCTCACTATATGTAACAAATTACCAAGAAAGACTGTAATTACTTATGTGTGTTCAGTATGTCCATAACTGCCTAGATATGTGATTCTCAAGTCTGAGGCTCAGTCAGGCTCCCACTGACTTCAGCAGAAGCCAAGGCAAACTTCCTGAACGGGGGAATTGCTATAGAGGCCAACTCACTGTCTCTGAAGGCTACCAGCAGTTTTCTGCCAGCTTCAGTGGGCTGGAATCTGGATTTAAAGAACAAAAATCTAGAAATGCATGCAAAAATTTTATCAGCTAGAAATGTATGGATGATGGAAGGAGAAAAAGCCTAGGTTAGAGAAGCAGTGAAGAGAAAGTTAACCTGATGAATAAGCTTTCAATGATGTGCCCATCATACAGTATTTGACCCATCCGATTACCTGTTTATAGCACTGCAAAAACGCACAGTGTGTCTGCAGCCGTGGGGAGTGGAGGGAGGTGTTAAGACTTGTAGTTTGTATACATCTCCAGAAAGTCCCAGGCTTCTGACCAGTGACGGATCTGCTGGCTAAATGATAAGTTCATTCCCTGCAATGGGCAGCTTATGCTTGACTTCACTATCGGTTGATGCCGGCTATACAAAGCAGCAAAAGAAACCTCAGGGCATATAGCATTTTAGGATTAAGCCACCGGCAAACTTGTTCAGGACTGGTAATTTCAAAGACAAGTTCGTTGAATTCAAATGTTGCTTCTGCTTAAGAATAAAAGGTACACCAAACTGTGCAGTTCTTTGTCAGAAAACGCTATGTCAACTAGCTGGAAAACCAGTTTCCCTGAGAATGAACAAGTCTAAGCGCTGGAAGTTGTTTTACTAGAATGAGAGACCTCCCTACTTAATGAAAAATCATCACTGCAAAATAGATCATACGTAATGCCATATAACTGTTTTTCTTCTTTATCTCCTTTCCTCAGGCAAGGCCTGGGGTGCTCTGACAGCAGCACAGCTTTTCCTCCTCGGAGGGGAGCATCTCAGGAGGGAGGTGCTCTGGGGCAGAGCGCAAGGAAGGTTTATCTACTGCTATTTTCACACGAGGTGGAGAAGGAAGAAAGTCAAAGCAGCCGGTCTGCTGCTTTCCCTGTTTCCTCCAGGGACAAAGAAGTTTCACAGACTTCTGTCTATCTTGGGAGGGGAAATGTTATGCTTTTGGGTGGTTATTACCAAGAAATCTGAATCAGAGCTTAACTATGTTGTGTCTTTAATACTGAAATAGGCATGCTAGCAAATATTAGGGGAAAATATTGGGGAAGGAGGGAAGGAGAGTGTGACTCAGGCTGCTAACGCTAGCTCTTTCTAATAACAGCTAGTCAGTGCCAGCGAGGCCTGGAGCGCTGCCCAGAGCATTCTCACTGCTGAGGCTAACGCCAGCGTCCTGATGCTGTCGTGTGCCTCCCTCCTTGCTCTTCCCACCTGCTCTGTCCTTCTGCAGCTGTTATTATCTGGGTTTATATCTCCGTAAATGTGAAGAACGGAGGGGCAGGGAGTCTGGGAAGGGAGAGCTGGGGTGTAACCAGCACAGTTCTTCCTTACCCTGGTACATCTCTTATATCCCTGGAGGTTTAAAGGCAGGTGTAAAACTCAAAATAACACCCCTTCCCCCAACTTTTATAAAGGTCAGTTCTTTCTACAGGCAAGAGATGGTGTGTCCTCTCTCTAGCAAGACAATGGGACAGCAAATAACATTGCTGATACTCCCAGACCTGGGAGAGGAGGATGGAAGAGTCTCTGGCTTTGGAGAAAAAGCAGATGTTAGATTGAGGTGTGCTGCGTAGTTTGCTATTGGGCTAGAAGATATGCAGGCAGGAAGGAGTCAGGATCAAAAATAAGAACTCTGCAGTTTGGCAAGAAGGGAGAATGTCTGTATTATCCAGCAGCCAGTGAAAACCAGGGCCAGATTCACCTACTTGCATATTTTAGGGAGCGTGGCAAAATGAATGGACTTGGTCTTTCAGAAGTGAACAGAGAGAAAGTTAAAAAAAAAAAAAACCCGGAACAAACCAGAACCCAACACAGTGTCATTCCTTAATAAACTCCGAAGAACTGGGGGGCTGATTCTAAGCTAGGTGGATTTGTTTGTTTGTTTTTACATATGAGGGCTGAATATACTATGTAAAAGAGTGGGAAACATGTGCGTGCAACTACTTGTAAGAAGTTCTGTCTGTTCTTTCTGATCTGTATCTCTAGCTTTTTTACCTTACACTTTTAGCCATGCCAGTCCATGTAACAAACTCCATTCTTTTCCCCAAGGTGACAGCCAGAAACTACATATATGTTTATGTTTATTCTCGGCCGACTTGTAGAGGTTTTACTATTCTGTCCACGTTCTGCGCAAGAATCATTGGCTGAATTGCAAACCAAGCTCTTGTATTACCAAGATCTGCTGCTTTGCAAATGTGTCAAGTGCTGGGATAAATCAAGCGATATTTTCATCCTTGCCCTGCTGACAGTTCAAGTTTGGCACATCAGCTGTTGGAATCACCCCTGGGATGTCCCAGGTGCGAGCACATCTAGGCTGTGCCTTCACTGCCTACCGTCCAGGCCGTTCATTTGGCGCTCTGGGAGGACTGAGGCTGCAGCCACCTCACTGAGTAGCAAGTTCTGCCAGCACCTTTAGCTCTTGGACCCAGTATTTCAGCTTACTGCAGTAAAATGCTTATATAAGGAATGACTTTTATATCCTTTCATACAAAAAGCAAAGGTCTGTTGTGAAGCAGTGATCTGATCCCAGGAGATGGGGTAAACAGTGTTTCTGAGGGCTTGTGTGAGTGGCTTTCTGGCTGCTTCCCCATCAGGTTTCTGAAAGGCTGCTCCTTCTGAATAAAGTTATCTTTGTTATCTAAAGGCTGGATTATCTAAATGATGAGTGTAAGATGAAAAGAGTTGGGATAAGTGTTATTGTAGTGCCTAGCATATCACTCAAAGAAGAGAACACTTATTTTTTCCAAGAACTACTTTCTTCAAAACTACTATCAGAGAATTTGGAAGGTGACTGGCTGCTAAACAGCTATAAACTCTGCAAACAGCAGATAAACCTTTGCTAAATAGTTATCTGGAACAGGACAGTTCAGGTCTTTTTTGGAGATGAGAAAGACCATGCACATGGCCACAGAAGAGCCTCAGGTAACGGACTGATAGCAAGGGCAACCTCCAGCTGTTTTTTCTGGCTGAGAGTGAAGACAGCAATAGCCTGGTTACTAGCTCTGGTCTGAGCTTTGAGGTCAGAACTGGGTGAGAAAGGTTAGCTTGGTGGAGTTTTCAGCCTTCCAGGTGTATTTTGCCTTGTAAGATGGGCAGCAGTGGAGCTGTTACTGTCTGGATTCATTGACTCATACCTATTCCATAACAGAACTAGTCACTACTGGTGACTAATTTGCCATATTTTTTCACTCCTGCTTCCTGAGTTAACAATTCTGTCTTTTAATTCTCTTCCAAGTTAGCAGCTCCCGCATCT